ATTCTAAGCAGTGATAAAGGCTATGTCGATTAGCATTGCATTATTATATACTTTTTTTATAATAAAAATTATAATAAGACGAACTCAGATAAACCATATATTGTCGTAGTCGTGTGTTTATTAGTCACGTTGAATCAATGAAAGCAGTTAAATCTGTTTATTCAGTAATCGCTATAGGGATTGCCTGGGCTTCTTCTGCAGGGTGTATTTGGAGTTTCTCTGGCCTTCAGATGGAGATTTACTGCTGATCACAGAACCCTGCTTCACTGAAAGATACGCATGACAATCGCAGCTTCTGCCTAATCACGATTTATCGCCTTTGTGATTTAATTTCGATTAACTGTGTAGCCCTACCATCAGGCAGTCTGATATCCGAGCAGGTACCGTTGGATCATCTGGTCAAAATGAGAGATGGAGCGGTGTGTCATCAGCATAGCAATGGTAGGAGAAGCCATGTGCCTGTATGATGGGTCCCAGTGATGTAGTGTATATAGAGAAGAGGAGCGGTCCTAGAACTGATCCCTGAGGAACCCCAGTGACCAGCTGATGTGATTTGGATACCTCCCCTCCCCAAGACACCCTGAAGGACCTACCTGTGAGGTAAGACTCAACCCAGTGGAGTGCAGTTCCGGTGATGCCCAGCGAGGAGAGGGTGGACAGAAGGATTTGATGATTAACAGTGTCGAATGCCGCAGACAGATCTAGCAGAATGACAACTGAAGATTTGGACTCAGCTCTTGCCCTCTGTAGCGCTTCAGTGACTGACAGCAAGGCGGTTTCAGTTGAATGGCCACTTTTGAATCCGGATTGGTTATTGTCCAGCTGGTTGATCTGTGAGAGGAAGGAAGACACTTGGTTGAACACAACGCGTAAAGTGATTTAGCTATGAACGGGAGGAGAGAGACGGGTCTGTAGCTCTCAGCAAGTGAAGTGTCTAGTGTCAGTTTTTGAGCAGTGGGGTTACCCGAGCCTGCTTGAATGCAGTGAGGAACATGCCTGTGAGAAGAGATGTGTTGATGATGTGTGTGAATAGAGACAGAAGTGCTGGGGAAATAGCTTGCAGGAGCTGTGAGGGGATGGGTCTAGAGGGCAGGTTTGGGGTGGCTGGATAGCATAAGTTCTGTAGGAGGAGAGAAGATGAGTTGCTGTGAGTTCTTGAAATGATTGCGGATGGATGTGGTTTGTTAGTGAAGTAATTAGCTAAATCTATCTGGTCAAAAGAGATATAGAGTTTGTGGCTGACTGAAACAGTTATCGGAGTAGGAATGCGACTCTTGTCTTTGTTTCCTCAGATTTAACCTATCATATCTCACTGCGCGATTCTTTTGAAGATCATTCGATCTATTTTCACACAATGAAATAACCTACACAGACAAATTCCTCAGACTGACAGCTGTCTTATGTGTGTGTTAAACTAAACTGAAACTAATTAAAATGAGAAAAGCAAACACTCTGCTGGTTTGGCCTGAACGTCGGTGTCTCAAGTTGTCCACCAGAGGGCAGCAGATTCCTTTTTTTAATGTGAAGCCCCCCTCCCGATCCTGTTCTCAGTTATCGAAACTCGGCTACTGAGTGGATAACAGTTACATGTGTAACAGTTGGCACGTTTTAGTCTATTATATATATATATATATATATATATATATATATATACATTCCATTTATAAATCAACAGTTTTACCACAAGTAACATAGTTGAACTACAGTTGTAGCACAGGAGTTGGCAACGAGCAAAAGGTAAAACTGCATCCAACACACATTTTAAGTGCGGGGCGTTTCGGATCAATGCTGATGAGCGCATGACAGCAGTTTTTTCTGCATTTGGATTTCTTTGCAATAAATTAATTACCACTATAAATGCTGTTTACTTTTAAGTTGGTATACAAAGTTCTTAACGTTCCACACACAAATTACAGTGACGGTGTTTTGTGAACAACATTCACATACATACAGTGTTGTTCAGTAGGTCGCAATGTAAATCTGTTATTCAAAGTTTAATTTAAACATTAAAATAAACAAACTTTTAGGATTTTTAAGAAACACAACTTGTGAAAAAACGTCAGATTTAAGATAATGCAATATTTGAATGAAAAAAAAATACAGATTTTTATCTGAATATTTAAAAATATTAAATATGTATGATACACACACACACACGCACATAAATGGTGGGGAGGGCATGTTTAATTTGTGGTTACCATGTTTTTATGTTTGTACACCCCCTACCTTCAATATGGCTGCTTGTCATAGCTGCAGACGCACACAGCTGGAGAGAACAGACACCACTGTGTATAGAAAGCATGGAGAGGACAAAATGTATATATACATATCAATATTGTAACGTAAAAGTCATTGCGGCATACAGTGCATTGTGTCATGTGACTGAGAATTCAACTAGATGCTCTTTAGCTGTGTGCAGGAATCCTTCAAAGCTGGTCCACTGCTTGATTTGCCATAAGCCCCAGGCCAAAATTGAACACCATCTAAGCAATATGTGCTTACGGGATGCGGAGGATGGCTGTATCCAGCAAGAAGTCTCGAGGGCCAAGGAGTCACAAGAGACGTGGACAAGAGAGGGGAGGATTATGAATATTTCTGAGGTCAAGAAATTGGTCAGGGAGGACCCGTCTTGTGACTCCTTGGCAGAGTACTTCCGGTCAAAGGGATTCCTCATCAGAGAAGAGCGTGACAGGTAGGGAGGTCTGTGAATGAAGAGTGAAATAGGCATTGTAATTCATTTCTGAAGGGTGTAACAGACTGTACAAGGGTGTGTTAGTCATACCATAGTCATGGTCCCTTCGTTTCCTAGTGCTGCCATCCAGGAGTCTGAAATCCTTGCTCTCGCTGAGGAGGACATGGGTGAGGTGTCCAACCGCCTCAGCCAACAGAAAGGGGTCCCTGCAAAGACCAAGACGGTCTTCCGGAGCTTCTGCCTCGCCACAATGATGTGGGTCCATCACCTGGGTCCTGCCAGCATTAAAGAGTTCAAGGTGAGCTCACTGCTGACATATTTTAGACGTGTTCAAACACAGATATATTAGATCTTCTGAGGTTGAGGAATAAGTGTGCGTTATATCGGAACCTTATCATTCCTGTCTGAATGTTCGCACAGGTCCAGGAATGGAACGACAGGGCGACAGAGGGAGATGGAGTCGTTGTAAAGCTGTCCAAAGGAAGCATAAAGTTGAACAAAAAAGAAGAACATGTAAGATGATCCTCTACATACCACACTATTAGTTCATTAACAGTCTTTGTCACAGCTAACAAATCTTTGCTGTAGTGGTTGGACTGCTACTTCAAGCACATCCGGCCAGAATATTTAAAGGCTCAACCTCCGAAGGGAGACGACAGGGACCGGTTCTTCCTGGGAGCTTCAGGACTTCCTCTTTGTAACCCAACAGCCGATGTGCACCGACTACGAGAAAAGCAAGTATTCTAGTCAGTGGTTCATGCGGTTGAGTTTCATGACAGGCCATGACAGACATCTTACCTTCATTTCTCCTCTAATGCATGCCACCAGGTACGTCAAGAGGCTGCAGGAGAGACCTACGCCACCAGCAGAGCCACAGGCAGGAATGGTGGTCAATCCACGCTGGCCGACTGCTGAGGAGGAGCCACCACAGGTGCTGGAGAGGTACAGAATGACTTTACCTTGTTACGGTGACCCTCATGAGTAGGGTTTGGTAATTGCAAGAAATGATCTACTCGTCATTCAGATTCCTATTCAGTAGGGCTGGGAATCGAAATCCAATTCCAATTCCAGAATCGGATACAGTTCCACCTATTGTGACGATGTTATCACAAAAATAAATAAATTTGCCTCTTTTGAATCCATTACTCTTCAACATTAGAAATATCTTTCATCACCAGTAATATGTTAACAGTGAGTATTAATCATCATACATTCTCATCGTTCATGTCAATCCAATCATAGCTTTAAATGCATGCAGCATTAGTAAATATTTCCGTAGTTCCAGTCATTTGGTTGGTCACGGTGCGAGTCCAGCCCTCGGATGTACCTTTATTAGGTGAAGACGTGCGGCGGCCAAGCGGCAAGCAGTATCTCTCTGAAGACTCACGCGGCGTTTCTGTTGTTTTACCTGCGTTGAAAATTAAGTCTGTCAGCGATTATAGCGATCCAACAACTTTACACTTCCTGGATTATTAATCACTTCTTCACACTTCGCTGTGTGCCAAGCAGGTTGTTGTTTAAACGCTGCAAGGATGCTGTCGAGCAAGTGTGTATTCTGACATGGACTGACGGATCGGGAGTCTGATCTCAACGCTCAAGGAGTTACAGAGTCACGGAATCAAACCGGATTTTCTGGAAAACGAGGTTGTGTGTAAAATACTGCGGCTGTGGATACTGTTAACTATAGTATTATTATTATCCTTTTTCTTTTGGCCACTTTGACTATTGGGAGTTCATTTTTGCTGATGATTATATCAGAAACTGAACCGAATGTTTTGGGCTTGAACGGATCTATTTTTCTTGGCTGGACTACATCGCTTATATTGTGGACAATTTCTATTGAACTGATTGCTCTCCTTTTCTGTGTCTTTATTATGCTTGGTCTGACTTGAACTTTGAATATACCGATCTGAAAACTGCAAAAGGTGATTTATTGTGTTCAATTTTTTTTTATGTTGAAGGTTTTTTGTTTATAGTGTTTATGAATTTCCTAACTCACAAATTTAAGGGTATGTGGCAATTTAGATGCACAGGCCTTTGTACGTTTCTTGTTTGGACTGACTTGACTTTAAGTTTGGTTTGACTAAACGACTAAAACTCTGTCTGGCACCCCAGCATTTAAAAAGAAGATAATTGTTTTCCAATTCCTGTGTGTGCATCTTTTTTTTAGGTGGTGAAAAGGAGCTGTTAAAAATGTATTTGTCTTTGAATCATTCATTCAAAAGATTCATTCAAAAACACTGATTCATCCAGTAATGAAACGAGTCAATCTTGAGTGAGTCATTGAATCATTCATTCATTAATTCCATCAGATTTTGTTTAGTTGTCTAATATTTTATTTGTTCAGAATTGTGAGAAAACTACAACCTCCATTTAAAAAGAAAAAAAAAAGTCTCAATTTATCCAGAATCATGCCGCTCTATTGTGCACACAAACAGCTCTTAATCGAGTCCAGTTTTTATGCAGCCGGCTGAGTTTTGTTCATGGGGTTCGGCAGCAATTAAATGTTTTGCAAAAAGAGACAGAATAAATATGTTTGATATCTAAATGTTTGACTTCGTTTTTTTTAAACACATTGGAATTGAAACTGGGAATCGATAAGAATCCGAATCGATAAGCAGAACTGGAATTGATCAAATTCAAACAATACCCAACCCTACTATTCAGCCAAATGATTCAGATATAATTTTTTCGTTTAAAAAATAAAAAGGAAAGTCATGTACACTCTGTTGTTTGTATTCATCACTGCCAACAGATTTTAAGATCCATATCATCAACAAATTCAACACAGTGTTTTACCATTTATGTAAAACTGATTATTCTTTTCCAAATACAAAGCAACAACTAACCTTTCTAACTCATGAATATTTGAGTGTATTGTTGTAATCATAGAAGGGCTGCATCACAGATGCATTGGCCACCCAGCACACCAGTACCGTTACTAGAACTGAAACCTATTGACTTTCACATGGTTTTAGATTTATCAAGAGAGAGAGAAAAGAGCCATTTGTCAACCCAACTTATAAAGGCACTGTGCTCTAAATTAAGTAGATTATTATTATCATTATTATAATTTATTTTTTTACAGGACATCTCCACCTACTCCAGTGGTGCAGCTCCCAACTCCGAGGTTTTGGGGAGCTTTTGAAGACCTGTTTCCCGTTACCCTTCACGGGAAGCCTCCGACAAAGGTGCAGGCAGCAGAGGCAGGATTCGAGGACCGCAGCTACTACCACTACTGGAGGAGGCTTCAGTACAAGCTGCGGGTACAGTATACTCTTGGTAAGTGCTTACAATAATGCCAGTCCCTTTACAGTCTACATTTTGTGAGGTGTGTTTGGTTAAAACTCACCTGAGGCCTTTCCCCCAGAGCAATCCACTGACAGGACTGGCCAAAAACCCCCGGCGTCTCGTGTCCAGCGGGCCATTGCCAAGGAGACCAGGTGGACCACTAATGTGCCCTCCGTGGGCAGTGTTCTGCTGGCGTGGGTGCCCTGCCAGGAACCGTCCCCTGTCGCAAATGACCCTCTCCTCATTGCTTCCGTGGTCCATCAGAAGTGGAAAGGGCTGGCCATTAAGCACTTCGAGGGGAAAGGCAAAGGTATGACTACCCACATTTGTAATTATTTGGAGGAACAGGGAGAGGGAAGCTGTTTGCTCAAAAGCATGTTCATTTACCTTTGTGCAGGGGTCATCGCCACCATGGAGTTCCAGAGGAACCAGGTCGTGTGCGACTACCACGGTGAAGTGGTCTCCAAGCGGGAAGGGGAGCGGAGGCTGGAGACCCTCACCGGGGAGCCGTCATACCTGTTTTTCTTCAAGGGCAAGGGTGGCAAGCCTCTCTGCATCGATGCACAGAAGTTCCCCTGTGACTGCCACCCAGACAAAGACACTTTTGGGAGGAGGATGAATAATTCCCGAAGGAGAAATAATTTGCGGCGTCAGATAGTTTCCTTAAACTGTCCTAATGGACCCAGGGAATGTGTTCTGTTCTTCGCTCTACGGGACATTGCTGTCAATGAGGAACTCCTGTGGGACTATGGCATTCATAGAGCATCATTCAGAGGGGAAGGGAGAGGTCTTCCATGGCTTGATGACTGACGTGGTCTCAAAGATGTGATCATGTAGTTATATATATATATATATATATATATATATA